GGGATGGGTGTGTCAGAGGCAATGCGATTGGCACAGGATAGAGCAGGGTTTAGGGCTATTGTACATAGGGTTGCTATGAGTCGCAAATGACTGGACGGCACATAACAGCAACAACAACAGACTTTTCTTAGAATTTAATACACATTTGTTACATAATCAAGTGAGCTTCTGGTAAGTAAACTTAACTGTTGTTGAGTCAGCACTGATTCATAGCTGGCATTCCAGTGGTTTAGACTAGTAGATAAAGAATTGCATTGTCCAAAGGCAGGCAGTTCAAATCCACCAACTGCTCTGAGAGAGAAAATGGGCAATCTCTTTCTGTATAATCTTCAGCATCTGAAAACCCATTAGAGGTTGAGCTGTGGATCATTTCCTACTACAGTGAAATAAAAGAGGGATAAAAATCACCCTGGAAGTGATTGCCAGTCTTTATACCAAGGAGGCACTGGTGGATTTAAACCACCAGATAGGCACCACTCAGGTTAACAGTGCAATTACCTTTTAGAATAAGCCATCAGAGCTCTTTAAACAGTCAGGTAACAATGTTCTTATTTTTTTTTCTCTTGTGATTATAAATTTTATTCAGCTTAGGTGAGAGACAATATTCTTATTTTATACTTCAGTGTTCCTGCATTGAAAAGTCATGACTCATTAAATGATTGTTCCTTTGCTAAATGTATGATTTTCATTTGATCTTTTTTATAATTTACCTATGTATGTTTGAAATACGATGGTATGGAAAAGAGGTCTTGGCAGAGTTCAGGGAAAATTCATTTTATTTCTTAATACATTTTAAAAATACTGACTTTGAGCATGATGATATTTACAGTCTTATCATTGGTAGAGTTTTCTTTTTGCCAAAAATGTGTGAATAACTTTATATTTTTTGTATAGTCATGGATGCATAAACAACCTCATAAATAATATATGAAAAATCAAATAGTAGTATAATGTTAAATAGTAAGCAAATTTATCAGATATAGTCTTTAAATATTTATTACTACTTTAGACATAATTCACCAAACTTTTTATATATTATTTTTTCAGTTTCTTTTATCAAGTGGAACATAAATGTATGTGTGTGTGTGTATATATATATATATATATATATATATATATGTAAACTTCTGAGTCAGATGTATGCCATATTTTGTTTTCTTGGGTTATTGGGTTATTGTTATAGCAAAATGAATTTCTGAGATATTTGTCTATTTTATAGATTTAATTGCTTGATCCATGTAGTCTTGTTGATGCACTGTTTTCATTTATTCTTTTTTAATTCTTTCTCTAGAATCAATATAGATTTGAAGGAAGTGGGTTTTCAAATATCCCTCAACTTATAAATCATCACTACACAACAAAACAAGTCATCACTAAGAAATCAGGTGTAGTTCTGTTGAATCCTATTGCTAAGGTAGGTGTGTATGTTATATTTTTTTAAAGAATATTTTGTGTACTATCACATGTCACAAATATTCAGAAATAAAGTGGCTATTTAATTTCCACTCATACTAATTTAAGCATGCCATTTCTTGTTTCAGTAAATCTCAGTATTTAAAAAATTAATGAAAATTTATTTTCCCCATGGTAGGTTCAGGATATACAGTTGGGATTTCAAAGATTTTGATGTTTCATTTCACAAGCCAAGTATTTGCATTGTCTAAAGGTTTGACTTTGGGAGAAATGTATTGCTCTATTGCTCTGGAAGAATTACAGCCTTGGAAACCCCATGGGGCAGTTCTACTCTGTCCTTTTAATGTCACTTTGAGTTGAAATTGACTCAACAACAATGAGTTTCATTTACTTTTTGAAAAAAACATGTTGTTGTTGTTGTTGTTGTTTCCTGCTGCTGATTGTGACTAATAGCAACACTGCACACACATGGAACTCTTACATTCTCCTGAACCACTCTCACAATCTCCGCAGTGCTCAGAGCCTAATTTTGCAGTCATTATTTTATTCCATTTCGTTAGGGATCTTCCTCTTTTTGCCGATCCTCTGTGTTTCCAAGCATAATGTCCTTTTTCCAAAACTGGCACCTCAAGACATCATGTCCAAAGTATGTGAGATGAAGTTTCATGATCATTGTCTCTAAGGAATACCTTGGTTGCACTTCTTCAAAGACAGAATTGTTTGTTCTTCTGGAAGCCCATGTATATTCAGTGAAAAGACTTATCCAGATCTCAGCTGAGAGACCAAAGTAATAAAACAGGAACAGTAAATGCATATCTGATCTTGAGTAGCAATAATATAATTTAAAACAAAGCTATTTAGTGCCTACTACGTAAAATTTTCCATAAAGAGTCTAGGTGGATAGAGGAAACTTTCTGAACTGCTATCTGATCAATTATAATCTCTCTCCTCAACACTAACTTTATAGCTGATTATCTCATGATTTTATAGTAGTATCCATAAAAACTGTAAGCTGAAAGCATCATAAGATTAAGGGGCTGTATATGATTGTTTTATGAGGTAGAAATTTAACATTTACCTACCTGACTATTAACCTCATCTGAAGTAATGGAAAGCTAAATTATTTCACAATTATGTTGTAAATATTGCTATGCACTTGATTTAAATAAAAATGAAACACTTTTAAAGGAAAATTACAAAGTTAAATAATTTTCAATTATGAGTGGAGAGCAAATTAATATGGATTTTGTGGTGTTATTACTGTCATATTTCTTTTGGAAATTTGTTTGAACTCATATCTAGTATCTATTTCTGTATTAACTTGTGCAAGAAGTTAATGTGATTGGAGATTTAATATGCTTTACAATGTCTAACTTACATCATAACAAATTTTACTTTTAACTTATGTAATGGATGCTGTATTGGTCCCAATTTATTTTTTTGTTTTATATGCTTTCTTTCTTCCTGCTTATTTCTGATCTTAACTAAGAAAATGTATGTATTATCATAAATGTCCTACTAGGGGACATAGTGGCCAGTGTAGTTTCTTTCTTATTTCTATATTCTTTTCTTTGCTCATATAAAATCTGGTAAAATGAAATATCAAAATTAAAAAACTCATTGCTGTCAAATAGGAATTAACTCATAGCTGACTCTCCAGAGGATTTGTGAAACTCTAAGTCACACAGGAGAAGATTGCCCATCTTTCTCCCTTCAAGGTACTGGATTCAAACCACAAGAGATATGGAGCCTTTGGGTTAGCAGTGCAACTCCCTATAATTATTTAGCTTTCCGCTAAGTTATTTAGCTTTCCCATGATCATGAAGTTTGTAAGCACCCAAGCTTTCAACATCTCAACTTCTCATGGTTGAGTTTTCCTACATAACTTCCCTAAGCCTGTGTAAAGGTACAGAAGATGAATAGTGTTACTGCAAATGGGGGGGCCGTTGATTATCTTAACACCATCATTATCTTTATATCTGAAAGTACACTGAACATGAACATGGTCTTTTCTTGCTCAGTTTCCAGCTCGTGTCATTTCATCAGAGAAATGTGCAAAATTATATAGTTCATTACCTTTTCTCCCTTTTGTCTTCTTTCATTTTGCTTAGTCATGGTTATCTAAATTCCGACAATATATTGTGTAAGGCATTTTTAATTGTATTTCTTGCCTACGCAAAATGCAAGTTATGTAAGGGACATAATTTAATTGTATTTCTTGCCTAGGAAAAATGCAAGTTATGTAAGGGACATAATTTTTTTTTTAACAATTAGTGCAGTTGTATCCCCAATGCTTTTAACAGGTCTAGTCCAATAAATATTTGTTGAAAATTAATTTAATTCAAGAATTACTAGGATTGAAGTGCTTGCTAAGGAGATCTAGTGGTTCAGTCATTAAATACTTAGATATTAACGAAAAGTTTAAACCTATTAGCTGGTGTGTTTGAAAAAGATGAAACAGAAAAGTGAAAAATGTAAATCTTTTTAATATTGTTATGTTTTACATGTAATTTTAGCTTTTAAAATAATTTGCTATTTTATGATAGAAATAGATTTTTATATGGAAATGTAAGCAAAAAAGTTATGATTAAACTGAGTCTTCTTAGGCAGAGAGCCATCATCTTGAACTTAGATGAATTATTTGTCTGCCAATTTGGATCAAATAGTTGTGGCTTTCTACCAGAATTTACTGTAGCATTCCACAATAATAGAGGCAGAGTAAGTTTTTCTGTGGCTAACATTAGGAATTTGTCATGAAGAGACAGGTCCATGGCAACTACATTCTTAAGCAGATGAATTCAAACAGAACAATTCATGAAAAATGAAATGCTTATAATTAAATATTTTATTAGCTTTATTTTGAATAATTTAAAAGATTGTTTTATACATAAGTAATTGTAAAAGTATTATTGCAGATATGGAGGTGGCAGTGTCTGAATTCCACTAACTTTGCAAGGGAAAGAATCACTTTCAATGGCATCAACATCGCAAAGAAAATACCTGTGATATGTATTTCCCACCATCATTACACATTCTTCCAGTTCTAGTGTCACCCTCTAGTAGCATTCACTGCTTGAATTGGGTTCATGTGGTTTTGGCCTTTTGTCATCCATGAGCAATTATAGTATAGAGAAGCTGTGGCATATTCACACAATGGAGTACTATGCTGCATTGAAAAAACAAGGAACTCATGCAATATTATTAAAAATGGGTGACCCTCGAGGACATTATGCTAAGTGAAATATCTCAGTCACAAAAGGACAAATACTGCATAGTGCCACTGCTGTGAAACAGGACTGACATTGGGGTTGCAGGGAGACTGAGAAAGCTGGGATAAATAATGTATACTGCATGGAAGCAGATGAGGGAAAGAACTGTTTAAAAGGGATATATGATTGCGTATTATTGTCATAATAGGCATCCAGAATGAAGGCTGCATAGTGGAGTGGACCTGGGAGGAGGGATTATAAAACAATGAAAGAATTTTTCTTTTACTTTTCAAAGAGAAGAGTGTACTGTAGGGGAGGGGTGGGCAGGGCGAAAAGTATAACAGTGAATGAATGGAAATCCAAAGTCTGTAAATTTTCATTAAAATTCAAACAAACCAAAAAACCTAGAGTCAAATAAATGTAGTAGGAACAGGAAAAAAAGAAAAATTTTCATTAAAATTGATAATAAAAAATTTTTAAAAATAAAGTTCTCTTATCTCTACCAATTATGTGCCATCCCTATTTTGCTAGTAAGCCTAAGTACAAAGACGTTTGGTTCTAGCTCCAAGGTCAGCAGATCTAGCTCCTCGGAAAAGTGCCCAGAGTAATCCACTGAACCAGCAAAATAGTATTTTGGCTTTCAACACTTCTGTTGCCATTGTGGCCACTACTGCTGCTGACACCATTTCTGCCTTCTGTACTGCCATCTTGTTCCTTCATCTCTTATTAATGCAGCAATCTATGGCCAAAGAGCATTCTGTACTCTGGTTCTCCTTTCTCTTTGTTGTGAGATTCCTGTTTTCCATCTCTCAACCTGCTCAACTTAAGCTGAATGAAATGGCGAAACTAACCAATTTCTGTATTACAATTCTGCATATTATATATGCAACTTGTACACAAAAGCTGTACATTTTTACTTGTGCTGCTAACCCAGAGGTACTTATTTGAAATACACCTAGCTGCTCCATGGAAGAAAGATGGACTTTCTCCTCCTGTAAAGATTTACAGCCTTGGAAACCTTAAGGATGGTCACTATGCGTGAGAACCTACTTAAGAGTATATTGTTGTTGTTGTTAGGTACCGTCTAGTTGTAGACGACTCATAGCGACCCTGTGAAAGAAAAGCCTGAGCACTGTTCATAAAGTTTCCAGAGGCAAGCCATTCTGGAAGTAGATGCCACTCCTGCTTCCAAGCTTGTTTTATTCGAGAAGCTCCACCAAACACTGTCCACCATGGGTAACCACTATCACATTTGGCACATGGATGCCACAGTGTTTATTATCACAGCAACCACGAGTTACCTCTGTACAGCAATGCACAGACCAGTGCTATACCACCTAGAAGAATGTTTGACAGAAAACAATTTGAGCCAGACCTGAGGGCAGCAGATTAAAATCAGCCACCTTGGGCTTGGTAGCATAACTTTCTGTCCACTAGGCCAATGTAACTCTCTCTATGTTGTTGTTGTTATTGTTGTTAGGTACCATCGAGTTGTAGATGATTCATAGTGACCCTATGAACGAAAGGCCTGAGCACTCTTCGTAGAGTTTCTGGAGGCAAGCCATTTCAGAAGTGGATACCATTCCTGCTTCCAAGCTTGTTTTAATTATTTTATTATTATATGCTATGGCATGCTGTATTATGACAGAACATAACATAAATGTTATAAAAATGAAGAAAGTGAAGGAGATAATGGGTTAGGCCTGAGATGTTAACCAAGGCAATGTTTAAGTAGTTCAAATATTTGCATGTAGGGAAGTGCTGCTAATATTAAATATCCCTGTCAATACAA